AGGGTAGGAAGGGCGGAGAGGCAGTTGGGAGGTAAACGGACCCACAGGACTGCCCCTGGGAGAAAGGGATACCAAGGGCGTGGAGAGGGGAGACGGACAGAAGAGGAGATCCCCACTCCAGGCACCCCAGGCATGGAGGACCTGCACCAGGAAGACAAATCCCCATAATATTCGGCTTTGAAAACCAGAGGGACCTAATTTTGTGAGTTCTTAAAATTGGCGGGGCTTAACACCTGGGACTTTAAGACTCAGAGGGCTTGGCTCTGGGACAGCCAGGAGGGCAAAAGGAAACTGAGTCCCCATCCTTAAAGAGACAGCACCACCAAGAGCCCCACTGAGATACAGCACAGAAGCAGCAGTTTGAAAAATGCCTGGGGATATACGGGAGGGAGATTTGTTTATCTTAATCTCAGAGCAACGTGCTGGAAGGGCAGGGATCACTGGGAGACTTCTTCAAGAACAAAAGGGTTGGTAGGCACCATTTCCCTCTCCCCCCCACCAACCTAGGCACACGGACACCTACAAGAACCAACTTGCTAACAGTGTGCCACGCCCTTTCATTCTCCTGTGAACCTGCCCCCTCCAATAAGCTTTTGACCAGAGCCCATCCAAAGCAGTGCCGTAAGCCTGGCAGTGTGCCAGCAGCCTCAACAGAGGCCAGCGCCACTCCAAAGTGACTCCTGCGCCAGTCCCACTGCAGCCCCAACAGTGGGCTGGGGGCAGACACCTGGTCTGACTGTAGAGTCTGCTTGTCACCAAAAGCAAGGGAGACAACACAGGGAGAGTGCCCTGCACTTCAGGGCTACTGCACTTCTGACAAATGCCTGGTCTGACTCACTTCAAGCCCAAGATGGCCCCAGACTGACCCACTAACAGCACAGGGACCAAACCCTGCCCACAACAGGCAATGAGTGCCATTGCAAACAACTTGACTGAAGGCAAAAGCAGCTCAGCTGCAACAGTAGGGTGTACTCCCCACATAGGAGACAACCCTGAAACACCAGGTTCTGGTAAACAGGGGACATTACACGGCAGGGTACGAGAGGATTTCTTCTTCCTAAGGCTATTACTTTCAAGAGCAGGAGATGTAGGGGTGTCCAGCTGGCTCAGTTGGTAGAGCATGTGACTTTTAATCTTTGGGGTTATGAGTTCAAGCCCCGCCTTGGGCATGGAGACTACTTAAAAAAAAAAAAAACGAAACAGGAGATGTAGCTGACTTTCCTAACACAGAAAGAGACATAGAGAGTTAGACAAAAGGAGGAGACAGAGGATGGTCCCAAATGAGAGAACAGGGCAAAATCATAGCAAGAGAGCTTAATGAAATGGAGATAAATAATATGCCTGATAGAGAATTTAAAGTAATGGTCATAAAGATCCTCACTGGATTTGAGAGAGTGGAGGGCCATAGTGAGATTCTTAACAAACCGATAGAAAACAAAAAAAGAACCCATCACTCTGAAAAACAAACTGAGGGTTCTAGAGGGGAGGGGAGTGGGAGGATGGGTTAGCCTGGTGATGGGTATTAAAGAGGGCACGTTCTGCATGGAGCACTGGGTGTTATACACAAACAATGAATCATGGAACACTACATCAAAAACTAATGATGTAATGTATGGTGATTAACATAACAATAAAAAAATTTTAAAAAAAAGAACCCATCAGAGATGAAGAATCCAATAAGTGAAGTTAAAAATACACTAGAGGGAATAGTATACTAGAGGAAGCAGAAGAATGGAGGACAGAGTAGTAGAAAGCAATCAAGCTGAACAGGAGAGAGAAAAAAAAAAAACAATAAAAAATGAAAAACAGACTTAGGGAACTCAGTGACACCATTAAGCATAATAACATTCACATTATAGGGACCCCAGAAGGAGAAGAGACAGAAAAGGGGACAGAAAATTTATTTGAAGAAATAAGAGCTGAAAACTTCCAAATCTGGGGAACAAAACAAAATTCCAGATCCAGGAGGGAGAGAGAGCCCAAAACAAAATCAACCCAAGGAAGTCCACACCAAGACATGCAGTAATTAAAATGGCACAAAGTAATGATAAAGAGAGAATTTTAAAAGCAGCAAGAGAAAACAAAATAGTTACATAAAAGGGAAACCCCATAAGGCTATCAGCTGATTTTTTTAGCAGCAACATTGTAGGCCAGAAGGGAGTGGCATGATATAGTCAAAGTGGTGAATGGAAAAAAAAAAAAAAAACCTGCAGCCAAGAACACTCTATCCAGCAAGGCTATATCATTCAAAATAGGAGGAGAGATAAAGAGTATTTGAGACAAACAAAAATTAAAGGAATTCATGACCACTAAACCAGCCCTACAAGAAATGTTAAAGGAGACCCTGACTGGAAAAGAAAGACCATAAGCAGGAGTAGGAAAAGTAGGAAGTGCAATAGCAGTAAAATTAAGCATATCTATAAAAATCAGTCAAGGGAATCATAAAATAATAGAATGTCAAGTATGACAATACATACTTAAAATCCTGGGGTGGGGGGCAAAGAATGGGTTCAACCCTGAGTGACCATCAACTTAATATAGACTGCTATAAGCATAAGATGTTATATACAAACCTAATGGTAACCACAAATCAAAAACTAGTAATACATATGCAAAAAATGAGAAAGGAATCCCAAGTATATCACTAAAGAAACCCAGCAAACCGTGAGAGAATAGAGAAAAAAAAAAAAGGAACAAAGAATGCCAAAAACAACCATAAAACAGGTAACAAAGTGGCAATAAATACATACCTATCAATAATTACTTTGAATTAAGTGGACTAAACACTCCAATCAAAAGATATAGGGTGACAGAATTGATAAAAAAGGAAGACCCATCTATATGCTGCATACAAGAGACAGATTTCAAACCTAAAGACACAGGCAGATTGAAATTGAAGGGGTAGAAAGGCATTTATCATGCAAGTGGAAGTGAAAAGAAAGCCAAGGTGGCAATACTTACATCAGAGAAAATAGACTTTATGACAAAGACTGTAACAAGAGACAAAGAAGGACTCTATATGAATAATAAGGGAGAAAGTCCAACAAGAAGATGTAACAATCGTAAATATTTATGCTCCCAACATGGCATCATCCAAAATACATAAAACAGTTAATAACAAACATAAAGGAACTAATCAATAGTAACACAATTATAGTAGGAAACTTTAATGCTCTACTCACATCAGTAGTGAGATCATCCAAACAGAAAATCAACAACGAAACAGTGGCTTTGAATGACACACTGGACCAGATAGATTTAACAGATATATTCAGAAATTCCATCCTAAATCAGAATACATATCCTTTTCATGTGCACATGGAACATTCTCCAGAACAGACCACATATTAAGCCACAGAACAAGTCTCAACAAATTCAAAAAAAACGGAAGTCATACCATACATCTTTACTAACCACAACAATATGCACCTAGAAATCAACCACAAGAAAAAATCTGGAAAGACCACAAATACATGGAGATTAAATGACAAGCTACTAAGCAATGAATGGGTAAACCAAGAAATCAAAGAGAAAATTAAAAGATACATGAAGACAAATGAATATGAAAACACAATGTTCCAAAATCTTTGGGATGCAGCAAAAGCTGTTCAATGAGGGAAGTTTATAGCAATGTAGGCCTACCTCATGAAGCAAGAACACTCTCAAATAAACCACATAACTTTACACCTAAAGGAGCTAGAAAAGAACAAACAAAACCCCAAACCAGCAGAAGGAAGGAAATAACAAAGATTAGAGCAGAAATAAATGAAATAGGAACTAAAAAACAATAGAACAGATCAATGAAACCAGGAGCTGGTTATTTTGAAAAGAGCAATAAATACAATAAACCTCTAGCCAGACTCATCGAGAGAGAGAAAGAGAGAGAAGTCAAATAAACAAAGTCAGAAATGAAAGAAGAGAACAACCAACATGACAGAAATACAAAAGGATTATAAGAGAATACTATGGAAAATTATATGCCAACAAACTGGACAATCTAGAAGAAATGGATAAATTCATAGAAACATATAACTCCCCAAAACTAAATCAGGAAGAAACAAAAAATTTGAACAGATTATCAGCAACTGTAATTGAAAGAGTAATCAAAAAACTCCCAATAAGCAAGAGTCCAGGACCAGATGGCTTCACAGACATTAAGAAGAGTTAATACCTATTCTTCTCAAAGTACTCAAAAAATAGTAGAGGAAGGAAACCTTCCAGATTCATCCTATGAGGCCAGCTTTACCCTGGTACCAAAACAAGATAAAGATACTAAAAGAGAGAGAGGGAGGGAGAGGGAGAGAGAGAGAGAGAACACCACAGGCCAATATATCTGATGAGCATAGATGCAAAAATCCTCAACAAAATACTAACAAGCTGAATCCAACAATACATTAAAGAACTCATTCACCATAATTAACTGGGATTTATTCCGGGGATGCAAGGGTGGTTCAATATTCTCAAGTCAATCAATCAACATGATACATCACATAGATAAAAGATAAAAACCATATGATCATTTCAATAGATGCAGAAAAATTTTGCCCTTCAGCTGCTAAGGAGAGCAGGCTGGATATTTCATACTCATCTTGCCAGTGACCCCAAACCTCTAAGGATGGCCTTGGGGAGTTGCCTGTGCTTCTGAGAAGGCACGTGGAGTCCGGTGGGGCTAGAAGTGAAGAAAGCTCGTGGGTGGTTTTCAAATGTAGGAGACCTCATTCTGTGAAGCTTCCAAATTTACTGCTTTATAGTTTTCAAAACTAAAAAGACCACTCTCTGTCTCTATTTTGCTCGTGTTTGCTCGCTCATGCTCACCACCGCCACCCCCGCCCAGCCCCCAGCCCCAGAATTCTACAAAGGCATTGCTGAGCCTGGGTTGGGCTAGATTTGAATTCTACTCTCTATCCTTAAATTTTAAACACTCCTTTCTTTTTTTCTTTCCCCACACCAAGCCCTTCAGTCATCAGATCTGGCTTTGCACACCAGGGCAAGAAACTCACGCGACTTTGGCACAGATAACGCACTTCCAGCCGCCATCAAGGCCTGAGACCCGACACTCGCTGCACACTCTCAGGGAGCAGGCCGGGCACGGCTCGCCTCGGTCAAATATTAAGCCCAGGTTTCTCTGGCAGTGAACGCAGACTCTGTTGGTTTGTTGTTGAGTCTTCCCACTTCTATGTTTTGCTTCTAAGAGTTCATTTTTCAGCTTCCTGGAAGGAAAAAGGGGAAAAAAAATCACTTAACAAAAAAAGAAAACAGGAGAGGAGCTCTCTTCATTGAAGCGGTATTTTCATTTGGAAGAGGATTTGAAAGAATCAGGTAGTCAGAGCCAGATACTTTCAGAAAACACAATTTCTCTCTCTTGAATCAACAATCCTTTGATATCAGTAGTTGAAAAACATAGCGCTTATGTCTTAGCATTTGAATTTTGACATCTTCCACTAGCACTACGATTTTGCTCTTGGTACTTCCTGCCATTCTATCTTAACTTCTCCAAGTAGGTCTTTAACACCCTAACACTGGAGCACAACCCACCTGGCAGCTCGCACAATACCATGTTCCTTACCTGTCTAGATATACTACGTGAAGCAAGAGTGTGAAATCAAGCTTGGCAACGTTGATACTTCCCTTAAGTGATCCCATAAAGAGTTTTCCGACATGTCCCGCCATTTCAGATCTCAACACTGTGCTTAGCATTTGAGGTTTTCTAACAACTTCCACCGACCTCTGGCTTTTGCTGTCAGATATGCCTAGGTTTGAATCTAGGTTCTGTCATGAATTAGCTGTGCAACCTGAGGCAAAGATTCACCCACTACACTTGGTTTCTTGATTTCTAAAATGGGGGTAATTGGGGCACCTGGGTGGCTCAGTTGTTAAGCGTCTGCCTTCGGCTCAGGTCATGATCTCAGGGTCCTGGGATCGAGCCCCGCGTCAGGCTCTCTGCTCAGCAGGAAGCCTGCTTCTCCCTCTCCCGCTCCCCCCTGCTTGTGATCCCTCTCTCGCTATGTCTGTCAAATAAATAAAATCTTTAAAAATAAAATAAAATAAAATGGGGGTAATAATGTTCTTACATGATTTTTTTTTAAAGATTTTATTTTATTTATTTGAAAGAGAGAGAGAGTGAGATAGAGAGAGCCCAAGAGGGGGTAGGGTCAGAGGGAGAAGCAGACTCCCCGCTGAGCAGGGAGCCCGACGTGGGACTCGATCCTGGCACTCCGGGATCATGACCTGAGCCGAAGGCAGTCGCTTAACCAACTGAGCCACCCAGGCGCCCCCTTACCTGATTGTTTTTAAGATTAAACAAGATGATATATGTAAAGGTACCAGCATGGTGCCCGGCATATACTAAGTAAATGCTAGTTACATGTCCCTTCTTTTACTACCTGACATGTAATTTTTTTAAATAAACACATTAGAAACAAGCTATTCAAAGTGATGGGACACCAGCATCAGGGAACTTACTGGGAATGAAGAATCTCAGGCCCCACCTCAGACCTACTGGATCAGATTCTGCATATTCACAAAATCTCCAGGTGATCAGAGTTTGAGAAGCATAGCTTTGGAACATTTGGGCTCAAATCTGGCTATAGGCTGGAATCACCTGGGAAGATTTTAAAAAATAGTGATTCTCGAGTCTCACCCTTCTCCCTGCCAGACTCTGATGGCATTTTTTTTTAAAAGTGTGACTATTTATTCTAATATGCTGCCAAATTTGGAAGACACTACTCTAAAAGATAGGTTCATCTCCACTTAAACGTTTCAGAGACATGCTGTTCCTTTATGTTATCCATTTCCAGTCCCTTTAAAAAAAAAAAAAAAGATTTATTTGAGAGAGAGAGATCTTGCACATGAGCAGGGGGAGGGGCAGAGAGAGGGAGACAGCGAGAATCTCCAGCAGACTCCCTGCTGAGCGCAGAGCCTGAAGCAGGGCTCGAGCTCATGACCCTGAGATCATGACCTGAGCCAAAATCAAGAGTCAGACACTTAACCAACTGAGCCACCCAGGCACCCCTCCAGTCCCTTCTTGAACACAACATTTCTATGTTCCAGAAAAAACAAACATCCCAGAATCATTCCACACATCTCATATCATTTCCTTTTACATTTGTGGTACTGAGCTTTGTTATACCAGACTAGACTAGCATCTCCCCAAAAGCAGGAATGACGACTTTAGTTTCTTGAATATACTGCTCATGACCCAATTCTGTGCTAGATGTATAAGGTACTTAAATGTTATAAACTATTTATTAACTCTTTGGGGTCTTCAAAATAACTTGTGAAGTATTACATCATTCACGTTAAAGATAGTGAGCAGTATACATAAAACCAGAAACTAGGTCTTCTAATTCCTAGCCTAATGAGAGATTTCTAAATGGCAATTTAAAAAGGGAGGAGTAAGGTTTCTAAAACCTTTGATTAATTGTATCCTCCATTCATCCAATGAACATTTCTCGAGTGTCTATTGTATGCCAGGCATTCTGGTACTCAGAGACAAGAATGAGTCAAAACAGGATATCTGTTAAGAAATTCCCATTAGCCTCATGTTAGTCAAGAAGAGGACAAACCACACAAGATGATTCCTGTGTTACAACAGGCAGATATAGAGTGCTCTTAGGTCCTCATTCTTACCTACCAGAACACAAACAATAACCCACAACAAATTTTCCTAATTCCTGATTTAGAGCTTACAAAGTACCCTTATGTCCTTTTTTTCATGAACAACTGGCTTATGAAACTGAATGTAAGAAAAGCTCCACACAATTTACCTTTGAAAACTTGCAGAAGCTTTAAAATAACAGAATGAGTTCTCATTTGAAAACCACAATTGTATTATCTGGAAAATCACAACAGATGTTTGAACACCTCAGGGCACAAGAGACACAAAACACTACTTATTCGAAATCTACAACAATGCATGCAACAATGACAAAGAAACAAGGTAATTAAAATGGGTAGAACAAAGATAGCAATCATGAGTAGCAGTCCTATCTGAATAGGCTGCTGGGCTGAAGAGTAATAAATGGAGAAAATAGGGGTATTCCAGGACATTCCAGAGGCAAATTCTCGTGTGGAAAAAAAATTCCATGAGCAGGTGCCTGAATCACTTCAACTTACCAGTTTCTTAATCACTTAGTAGGTCCTTAGAGTGGGTGAGACCACTTGGAGAAATTATGGCCATAAACTGAAACATTTTCTTAAGATTTTATTTATTTATTTGAAAGAGAGAGAGAGAGCACACAAGTGGGGGGTAGGAACAGAGAGAGAAGGAGAGGGAGAAGCAGACCCCCATGCTGAGCAGGGAGCCTCACACAGGACTTGATCCCAGGATGCTGGGATCATGACTTGAGCTGAAGGCGACGCTTAACCGACTGAGCCACCCAGGTGCCCCACAGTGAAACATTTTCATTGCATCTTTCTTTGTGCTCCACTGACAGGACTCTATTTAGCAATCAGGTTTCATCTAGTTCAGTTCTAGAGTCTGAAAAGACCTGGGGCCCCATGTAAATCAGGCCATGAGGAAACAGGAATTTAAAGGTCCCAACACACTAGTCAGCACATTTTTAAGGCAATTGGTGCTAATTGTCCCACATATCCTGGGAGCTATCTCTGAGATTGTGGGAAAGGATGGAAAGAATTCCACAGGCTGGCACAAAATACTAAACGGCCTGATTTTTCAGATCGCTTAGAAATTGACCTAATTTAATCATGCCTAGGATAATTTACATGAAATGGACATAGCCATTTTCAGACACTCAAGAGGAGAAAGGTTAGAGGGAGGGCAACTGGAACTAGGAAAAAAAGTATGCAAGTGGAGAATTGGTATCAAGGAGAAAGGAAGTACTGGGAGCCTGGAGAGAGGAATAGGATGGGAGATGTCTTTTCCCTCTGCTTTACTATCCCTCTGCTTTACTAACCCTCTGCTTTACTAACAAAGCAAGGTAGGCCTTATTTGGTTCCTATATTGGCTGACTCAGTCTGAGAAATGTATCTGAGGAAGATGACTTTCTGGGCTTCAAGCACAGTATCAGTTCATCTCCCACACCCACATAGGCTAGAAATGCTTCTGGTTCCAAGTAACAGGCTTAAAAATAGGCTTCATTTTTTACCCACATAACAAGAAATCCAGAATTAGGCAGTTCTTACATTAGTTCAGCTGCAAATCAGGTCATTGAGGGACTCAGGATCCTTTCATCCTGAAGGTCCCCTATCTTCAAGTTGTGGTTTATCGTTCTTATGCAAACTGGGCAGCCGGCTCCAGAATAGCATCCGTGTTTAAGACAGGAGGAAGGGGCAAGCTGTGTCGGCTGTACCTGTCTCTTGACAGAAAAATGAAAATTCACTGGGAATCCCCCCCCATCAGAGTTCTCCTTAGGTTCCCCTGATCGGACAGTGTCCTATCACCACCTCTAGCTGCAAGGGAGGCTGGGAAAGTGGAACGAGTCAGACCGCACAGCCCTGCCTCTTGACATTAAACGTGGTCCTGTGACTAACACTGGTCCCTGAAATGTGGGATGTGATTCCAGGTAAAAGCTTTAAAAGCGAGTGCATGGTTTACCACATGCCGTCTTCTTTGCATGGAGAATGGCAATGTCCCAAATAGTGTCTACTCTTTGTCTGAGTCCTGGTCTGAGGATGCTACAAAAGAGAGTACTCAGCTGTTTTGTTATGGACAGGCAGCACGAATGAGAAGTAAACCTTCATGGTTTTAAGCCACTAAGAGTTTGGGGCTGTTACTGTAGCATCACTTAGCCCATCCTGATAAGTCCAGCCTAGTTCTTCATCTGGCTGCTTCATCTGACTTCCCTGTATCCTTTTTATTTTGGTTTTACTGCTGCTTCCCCAAAGAGGCTTTCTCTGACCACCAAATCTACAGCAGATACCCATCTTATTCTCACTCACAGAACCGTGTTCTTTTTCCTTATAGCACTTATTGTAATTTTTTTTTTTTTACTTACTGTAATTTTTAATTGTACATTTGGCTGTTTTTACTGGTTTAATGTTTGTCTTGCCAATTCCTCTATAATCTCCGTGAGGGCAAGACTATATCTGTTGTGTTTAGCTATGCATCTTATAGCACATAACCTAGTGCCTGGAACATACCAGATACCATTTGATTGAATGGATAAAAGAAAGCATAAGCACAAGCTAGCAAGTGCTAGAGGAAGAGGAAGAGGAAGAGGGAGGAAAGGAAGGAGAAAAAAAAAGGTAA